TAGTAAATACCTTATTAGGGATGACCCCAAACAAAAACCAAGCTATAAACCCCCAAAGGCCAAAGTGAAAATAATGTTGATTGTTTTCAGTGTTGGTTATGTTGGCCTCTTGCAAAATGACAGGCAAAATCATACTTATTTTTACATTTGCATCCACATATATTACACTGAAAAGGATTTTCATACCCATGGCATCCCATGTGAATAGTGTAAAGGATATTGTCTGCAAAGTACATGTCACAGTGCTGGCAGTGGTGCAGAAGCTGAGGATCCTGGACTGGCAGGGTTGGAGCTGGAGTGCTTGGCTGGCTGTTTCCTATGCTGGGGGTACTGGTGTGGGCACTTGGTTCGCTGCTTGGCCCTGCCACTGGGCTGTAGTTCCTCTGACTATGCGATGGCCGAGGTTCTGGGCTTGTGGGGGAACTCTGAGGAATACTTGCTGACACGGCAGAGACTACTGCTTGGGCAGATGGCTGCTGAATCATGAAAGGCTTTTCATCTGGGCAGGGAACCACATCGGGGGAGGCGGGGTTTTGGTTTTCAGGTGGCAAGCTGGACAACTGTCCCGCTAGAGTGGAGAGCTGATTCAAAGGGTTGTCAACCAGGAGTTCTTGGGGGTCCCTTGGCAGACCACCAGTTGGTGTGGTTTTTGTCATAGTTTCATAGGAGTCAGTCTGAATATTTGGGATTTCATGGGTAAAATCATTAAGGTAGTCTGGCTTCTGGACCACCATGGAAGGCGGACTTAAGTTGATCAGTGCTCTTCTGCTATACCCCAGGTTGCTTGTTTTCTTCTGTAAAACCCCCCACATTTTCTTGCTGCTTAAGGAAGACCTAGTACCTTTAATTGGTACCATTTTATGCTTGCGCCTTCGATGGTGGGACAGGTTACTTCGATCACTGCAGCGGAAGGAACATAATTCACATTTGTACGGTTTTTCTCCAGTATGGGAACGCATATGTGCCTCCAGATGACGCTCATACGCAGATGCAAATGGACATAGGTGACATCTATGAGGTTTCTCACCTATTTGAAAAAGAGAAATGGGAAAATTGCTAGGGAAACTCATTTATGGGAAGTTTCATGCTTGTCCATTGAATTTGGGAATTGATCACAAAAATGCTTTTCAGAAATTCACAATCGCATAATAGATTAACAAAATTTGTAAAGAAACCTGAGAACTGAAATAAAGCTTAAGAATTCACTAGCAATAATTTGGGATGTATATTTAGATTCTATTTAGTATGAAAATTATTACAGCTTCAACTGGCATTTGGGAAAAGAAATAAAAATGCTCCTCACACAATAAAGATTTTATCACTAGTATGCCTCAAAATGGTATGTTTATGCCTTGAAGTTGCATGTTCATGTATGTAGCTATTCATGAATACTTATTCATACTCAGCACACATAAGCACACCTCAATGGGGCGGGGGGAACCCTTTTCTAAGAAATCTTTATAAGAAATAGGAAGCTCAAAATCAAAACGAACTTCCTGATCCGAAATGAGCTATGCAGTGTCCCTTTGAAATTTCAGGGCTTCTCCCCTACTTTCCTGCTCTTCGGTTTCAGAAGGACCAATTTTATTTAAATTAATTGAAGACTCTCCAAATATGTAAAAGAATCATTCAGAATTTGAGACTAGGAGTCGCTCATTTGACAAGTGCAGAATACCTACCATGTGCCAGATTCCCTACTAGCTCTAGGGGTACAAAGACTGCCTTCGGGTGTCCTCAGGAAACTTTCAGGCCAACATGATAGAATAAATGGGCCCAAGCTGTTACAGAGCATACAGGTCTGGTACTTGGGTGAGGGCAAAGCACAGCGAGGAAGGTTCTCAAAAGGGTGGTTAAGGGAGACATGGGTTTAGTAAGGACAATTTACAACTGTATAGAAACTTTTTTCTTCAATTTAAAACATTCTTATATGGAAAAAGATAAGAACATTAACTCTAGCGTTAACCTCCCCACACTAACAGCAGAAAGATACAAAAGGATTATATAGAGCAAGCAGGAAAACAGGCAGGAAGGATCAAGCTCCCCGGGCCTCACTTTCCACTATCTGTAAAGTTACTACCCCACAGATCCAAACCCACCTCAACCTTTACTGGAACGATCAGAACTCCTTTGGGCTTGTACTCCATGGTCCCTTTCCTGCCTTAACAAAGTGCCTTCCCAGCTGTCTCCCCATTACCTGTGTGAATCCTAATGTGCTCGATAAGCCGTGCTGTCCCTTTGCTGGCATAGTTGCAGTACCGACACTTGAGCTTCCCATCAAAGGTCCTTTCAAACCCGTCTACTAACATTCCTGAGTTTTCATCCAGGGAAACTTCAACAGATGGGTGATCGAGTCCATTCTGATCACCATCTGTTCCAGCTATAAACAAAGTATAGCAAAAGAAATTATGCTTCTTAGAATCAACTCAGCTTCGAATTTTAGATCCTAAGTGGTTGTAGATCTTTCATAAATTGATTGTTTACTTCCCAAGAGTTTAATTCATAGGATATTTTAGATCTGAACTGGGGCAAGTTTTATACAAAAGTAGTATTATAGTTTAAGAACCTTTACAGGAGGGCCTCAAATTATTTACACACAAATTGTACCAACCTCATCACGGTACTGAAGAGAACAGATGAGGCAGGGGGGCATAAAGAGATGCATTTAAGGGCAATGGCACAGTTACACACAGATGTCTAAGATGCTGACTGTTCTGACAATTTTAATTAGCAATTGTAACAACTCTAAAACCCTATTTCTTTTCGTCTAAAACAATGAATACCCCCTTACTCTCAGTTTATGTTCTAGATCCTGGGCTACATTTAAGATCTTAAACTCTAATCAAGCACATAACAAAGCTCCCGGGGTGATACCTGATCACTGCCAGTCCCTAGCTCTCCATGCCCTAGCAGAGCTGGGTCAGAGGTCAGCAAACATTTCCTCAGGGGTGAGACAGTAAGTACTCCAGGCTAGCCGGGCTTTGTCTCATCACAATACCCAAATCTGTGGCTGTACCATAAATCAGCTATAGAAAATAGTGTGCACTGAGGACATAGCTCAGTGGCAAAGCACTTGCTTAGCATATGCAATGCCTGTTGGATTCCCAGAAGTGCAAACAATTTAAAAAAAAAAAACATATAAAGAAGAAAACATGTATGTGTTCCAATAAAACTTTATTTATGGACAAAGAAATTTGAATTTCATATAACTTTTATGTGTCATGACATTCTTTTTTTCTGCCATGTTTAAATGTGCAAAACCAATCTTATGCTGTAGGCTACAGGAAAGCAGCAGTTTTGATGGGGACCCTGGTGGTGCTGTTCTGACCCTGAGCTAGGTTAACAACAGTCTGCTGGTCCACAAGTGACAGAAAGTTTGCCTCTGGCAGACTTACCAGATCTTTGCTTTCTCTAGTCTAATTTCTCTTCTTGAATGGGCAAATATGCTCAGCCTTTCTTTCATTTAAAAAGGAAACAATCCCAGCACTCAGGAGGCAGAGGCAGGCGGATCTCTGTGAGTTCAAGGCCAGCCTGGTCTACATAGTGAGTTCCAGGACAGCTGGGGCTACAGGGAGACCATGTCTCAAAAAGACGAAAAAAAAAAAGAAGCCCCAAATGGAGTTCAAGTCCAATCCATGTTGTTAACAGGTGAACTCTGAGTTCCTCGAAAAATCTCATTAGCTACAGAAGAGCTGGAGGACAGGCAAGGGATTCAGAGACCCTAACCTTCCAATAAGACTATAACACATCTTGAAACTACATTAAGCTGCTGTCCCATAGCACACACCCATATGTTTAAATAAGGGAGAAAATGCCTGCCTCTTTCTACAAAAGGAAGGAATGATCCACATTAGTGGACAGTGACGCTCACAGCATAGGGAGCTGCACCCCAACATTAATACATTCATAAACTGAACCACTGAACAGCATTAAGATTGAGTCTACCTCCCTGAAGAGTCTCTGCTTCTTTGTCCCCACTAACTGATCCAGAAATCATGTTCACATGATGGGTCTGCTGAGTCAGGTATTCCTGAAAATCTTTCACGAAGTCCAAAGGCTCTGGTTTCTTTTCACCCATTTTTGCGGTTTCCTTTCCTTTTTTTTAGGATAAAGTTTTGTTATGCCTAGGGGACAAGGGAAGGGAAAAAAGAACCCTGAAATAATAATACAGTAAGAAGAATAAAATACATAATAAAACAGTACTGACAACGGCTATTTTTGTAGAAGACACTGTACAAAACAGCAAGGGAAAAAAAGCCTGTCTTTAAATACATTATACTACAGCTAGTAAACTAAAGAGGTGCACAGAACAGTGAGGCTGTGATTAAGCTGAGTCCGAGGATGGAAACAAATTACAAAGACAGAAAAAAAGAGAAACTATTATTTATAATAGCCAAATACTGACAATTGTACAAACAACCCTGAAACAGTACAATCAATAAATCCGTTGCAGCATGGTCACACAATAAACTCAGCTGCCAGCACAGGCACAACACAGATGAATTGCACAAGCAAGCTGTTGGGCAACAGAAGCCAGATAAAGGTTTCTAGCGTATGATCCTATCTATATAAAACTGAAGATCAGATAAAACTAATAGCCAGTGCCAGGAGGATAGTGTAATCCCTGCTTGCAAGGGCGGGCAGGCCTGAAGGAAGGGGCACAGGGAGAGCTCCTGGGATGCTGGGAGCCTCTGCTTCATCTGAATGCTCGCTTCACGGCCTATGCTCCCTGTGATACTCCAGTAGCCCAAACTTCAGGATATATAAGTTTTTCTAGACTTTAGTCTGGAAAGCCAAGAAAAAGCTAGGCAGTCGAGAACTGTGTAATTTCTACATGCCTATGGCATGGAAATGAAAATTTTCTGAATGGAAAACTAACCACCAGATAGCTGCTGTTTGGGAAAAGAATATTTGTCCAGAAGCGTATCTGTACACTCGGGTTGGCTCTACAGGAATAAAAGGGCATGTGCAGATTCAGCTCTAAATGATGCCAAGTCACTTTCCAGTCATCATACTGATTTACTGACCCAGCAGCAATGAGTAAAAATTCTGATGATTCACCTTCTCACCAGCCCCTGGTTTCTTCACTGTAGCCATGCTGGAGGGTGTGTGGTGGTGTCAGGGACCCTGACAGGGTCACTGAGAAATGCTAAAGAAGGCCCACTTCCTGCTGCTTCTCAGGCTCTGGCAGGGAGGCCTTATTTTTAATTCCAAGAGAGCCCCTTCAACTGAGCTGCTTAGAGTCATGAAGACCTGGACACATCATTTGGACCCATAAGCCTACCAGCCATAAGCAGGGGTTAAGTTGATCAATCCAAAATTAGGGAGAGGGAAGCTACTGAGACCCTAAGAACAGATTCTCCCTGGCGGATGCTGAACTTCTGTTTCCAGGTCCTCGCTCCACTTGCAGAGAGCATCTTTCTTATGAGTGTTATGTGTGTGTGCTTCTTTATGTATGGATATGATTATTTTTCAATAAGTTTGTTTAATGTTGCCCTCTGCTGGTCTGAGTTTTTCCACCCTTTCTTTAATTGGCTGAGGGAAAAAACCCAACACCACCCCTGGACTGATAATGAAGCCACCTGCAACAGTGGTGTCACACCAATTCTGATTTATAGTCACTGATGATTAATGAAGGTGTATGTGCTAATTAGTCACTTTGATACTTTTTTTTTGAGAAAGGGTCTCACTATACAGCCCTGGCTGGCCTAGAACTTGCTATGCAGACCAAGGCTGACCTCCCAGTGCCGATAATGGGGGAACTAATAAGCTATGACCTTGGTATAACTCTGTTCGGTATGGCAGATGAGTAAGTGCTAACAAATGCATTTGATAAGAATCTTATGTACTACCAGGTGTGGTGGCACATGCCTATAGTCCCAGCACTTGGGAGGCAGAGGCAGGCGGATCTCTGTGAGTTCAAGGCCAGCCTGGTCTACATCGTGAGTTCCAGGACAGCTGGGGCTATAGGGAGACCCTGCTTCAAAAAGACAAAAGAATTTTATGTACTAACAGTGAGGATGCTTGCTGGTATATGGAGAAGTGACAGGACGTTGGACCTTCTACTTGTACTCAAATCTCAAAGACCACTCTGAGCTCAGTCTCAGGCTAAGACAAGGCAGACATCCACAAAAACCAGTCTGTGAGTGCCTTGAAGATGCGACCTCTTGCAGTGGTCTTAAGAAAAGATCTTCTCCAAGAACTGAGCTGAATGTCCTGATATGAAAGGGAAAAGGACCACTGGAGCAGGAAGGGTAAATGGGGTGGTAAACGGGGAAGGCAGGGCAGAAGAGGGTACGGGGAGGGATGAGGAACACCAAAGACCTTGAGAAAAAGTCATATGGAAAACTACCTCTATCGAAGCTTCTTAAAGTGTATACATATACATTTTATTAAAAGATTAAAAGGAGCTATCCTGTGAAGAAGGACGTTTTCCCCTCGTGAGTTCATAGGCTAAAAACAAAACAAAACAAAACAAAAAAACCCTCAATGACAGGAATGGACTTCCTCTCTATAAGCTGTTGACCAGGGGTCCTATGGACCATCAAATAATACTGGCCATTCCCACTAGAACTTGATGGTAAGACCCTGAAGACACTACATACATGAGTTGTAGAACAAACAAGGAGAAATCAAGTGGGTGCTGACTTCAGAGCCTCATCTCTACTGGCTAGTGTTCATAGTGCTGGAAGGTGCTGTGCAAGCTATCTGAAGAGAAAAATAATCATCAACCTTACCCTGTGAATCCTGTGAAATACAACAATTGGTCTGGCAAGATATGCCCTCTGGTGCAATAGTGGCACGAATATTACGGATATTTAATGTCCTTATATGGATTTAAGGTCCGCTTCATAGAATGGAGCCCATACCTGACATTATTAGCCTAGGAACCAGAGACAGGTCACAGGACATAGGGGAGAACCTAAAACTAGTTAGATTTTTTCCTACTAAATAGTTATCATATTAAACTGACTCCTAATGAGTTATTGTTTTACCTATAGATTAATGCATCAGTCACCTCCCACCAGAAGTTTCCTTATGCAGATGGTGATTAATACATAAAGCCACAACTGTCCAATGTGCAGAGAACAAGAGGCTGCAGAATAGAACACCCATATCAAACTTCCACCTCCCAAGGCTCAGGGATCAGTGTGGAAGAGGGGATGGAAAGACTGTAAGAGCCAGAGGTGGTCAATGTCCACAAGGAAACAGAGTTTTCCAAACAGCTGGTCAGTCGCTCATATGAACTCACAGCAATAGGTTCAACAGGCACAAGTCCCATGCAAGCTCAAAACAGACAAAATCTCAGCATAGAGATGGGTAAGTGGATAAGAAACCTCAACCCAACCTGAGGGAGTTTTGACAACTGATAGCTGCTGGGAGGGGAAGAGTCAGTCTGTGAGATTCTTGGTAGATTAACAAGTCCCATGCAAGCTCAAAACAGACAAAATCTCAGCATAGAGATGGGTAAGTGGATAAGAAACCTCAACCCAACCTGAGGGAGTTTTGACAACTGATAGCTGCTGGGAGGGGGAAGAGTCAGTCTGTGAGATTCTTGGTAGATTAACCAGGCTCCAGTGGATGGACCCATACTGAAGGACATTTGGGGACACAAATTAGACTCTACAGACCTTATTATATACATAATAGAGTACACTGAGTGTGTGTATAGTGGAAGGATCTAAATACCATCAAATTATATTGTATGAAAATCACAAAAATTCGATAATACAAATAAAAGAAAAAAGATCTATTGACAATGTGTCTTATTTGTTAAAATAGCTAAGATTGCTAGCATCAGCATATTATTGGACAGTGTCACAACCCCACACTGGCCTGAAATATCTGCTTCTTTGTAAAACACTGTTTAAATTTCCTGTAATAACCTAAGGGGGACCTATATTTCTGTGTTGGGAGTCTCAAATCCACCAATATTATTATTGCCAGGGGATTATATGAAAACTCCTATAAAAACCTATATGAATTTCTGCTTGGGGGCCTCAGTTTCTCTGGAGCAGGTTTGGCCCAGTTCAGGGCCCACATGTAATAAGGAATAACTTCCTCCATGTCCTGAGTACAGTTTTCATCTTCTCAACAAATCACGTTGTGGTTAATTCCTGTAACCCTGGGATTAAAGGCATGGACCACCAAGCCTGGTCTCGGTTTTTTTTTTTTTTTTTTTGTCTTTTTGAGACAGGATCTCCCTGGAACTCGCTATGTAGACCAGGCTGGCCTCCAACTCAGAGATCTGCCTGCCTCTGCCTCACAAGTCCTGCGATTAAAGGAGTGAGCCACCATGCCCAGTTCAGTCTTTTTAAAGTCCCACAGTCTTAATAATTTCAATGATTTAAAACTCAAAGTTCTTTTTAAAAATCCAAACTCTTTTAACTGTGGCCTCCTCTAAATTAAAAAGTTACAGACTTTCTTATTCCAAGAGAGAAGAACCAGGGCACAGTTAATAATCAAATCAAAGCAAAACAAAATTCCAGTGGCATAAAAAGCTCATGATCAACATCTGGGACTCTATCGTCTGACTCCAAAGAGCTTGCTTGGGCAGTCCCACATGCCTAGCTCTGCCATCAGCAGCACACACAGCTTGTCTTAATAGGCTCAGGTCAGCTCCACTCCACACCTGCTGCTGTACCTGGCAAATGTCCCACAGTCCTGGCATCTCCAATATGCTGGGGTCTCTACTGCAACTGAGGCTTTATCTTCACCAATGGCCTCTCCTGGCTTCTTCAAGGACTCCAACCCTGCCACATGGTGCCACGCCTCAGCTTCTCTCCATGACCCCTTCAATCCTAGGGTCTCCACTGCAACTGAGGCTAGATTTCACCAATGGCCTCTCTACGTCTTCATGGGTCCCAAGCCTCAGCTGTTTCCCCTTTCCCAGCAATTCATCAACTTGGTTAAAGAAGATAATCAACATCTATCTGCTCAGTAGCTCAATGAAAGAACATGAAGCTCCTTAGTTCCTTAATACATACATCCCATCCTCTGCTTTCCTGCGCCTGCACGACCTGCTGGCCTCTCTCCAGGGTAAGTGGATTGCACCCTCCACGCCTTGACTCCCCAAGCCTCATTCACCCTCCCATCTCCCCTGCCCGTCTCTCCTCCTAGCCTG